TGCCTATGAACCTGTAGAACCTGCTAGGCACGCGGTGGCATTGGCAAACTTAGTCGTCGACATAGTCGGCTTCAACCAAAGGACTGTCGCTGACTGGGAGGTGGATGACCAAATCTACAACCCTTAAGCCTAAACCCTGAACCAAATTCTATAAGGAACCCCTCACCCCTTTTGGGATATGGCACTTAGGTAGATAGGCGTATTGGGATCTAGAGTGTGAATAGGATTTTTTCATATTGTGTATCTTAGATTGGGGCGGGTGGTGCCATATACCCAAAAGGGGCAAAGGGGGTCCTAACTTAGAGTATAGTATCATACTATAGTATAGTATAGTATTAGTATGATATGATATAACATAATATAGACTACGATAACCCTGAGTGGGCCTTGCAACGGAGTCTCGGGTCTACTGGAGTCGGTGATGCAAAGGGGGGGGGTTATCTTTCGATAGGGAGTTGCAGCAGCATAATCCGTAAAGAAATGAGCAGAAGGAATCCCCTGAAGGTAACAGTTTAACAGGCAGCATGATGTAGCGGTGCAAGTGTACTATCTTGAGGACAGGCCCTAACTTCGAACAGCCCTAACGTAGAATCCAGAAAGTTGGAACATCATTGTCCTGGTGCCCTTAAGGTAAAGGATAAGGGATCCCAGCACTAATCATCCTGAATCCACATTCCAACTTTCTGGGCTCCCCTGTAGAAGCCTCCAAGTGTCGCGCAGTGGGTCGACGTTGCGACGGGCTGCCTTGAGAATGAGCAACCAAATTAAGGAGCGACACTTGCAGCGGCATGCTTGCTTACATAACCTTTATGCGCTGGCTGTATATCACATGATGTAACTACACACACACACATACATCAGACGGCTTAAGGCTGACACACATGTGCAATTAGAGGCGAAACTCGAACAACTACATTATTTCGGGATTGGGGGCTCTTTCGGGGTCTGAGGTGTTCTGCCTGTCCGCACGTAAAGTGCAGGGTGCCAGAAGTTTGGGACCATTCCTGGGATTTCACGCGAGCCTTTCGGAAGGGGGGCTTCGGTGAATTGCATGACCGGTACAGTCCTGGAAGCTGTTGTCGTAGTCGCATGCATCAGGCATGCAGGATATCATGCACATTGAAAGCACCTTCAGAACGGCAACCGCCCTCTGAAAGACTCGGACAGAAGATTCACGCAGACGAGCGGCAGATTTTGGTACCTAGGCCGCACACATGAGATTACGTCAGATGAGTTAGGTCGGATGAACACTTACAAATGAGCCAGTTTATCAGGAACTGTACTGAATGACTCGAACGCCCAAGATGCAAGGCACGTGCCACCGAAGCCATGCGACCACTTTGGGCCGCAGCAGCCTCGGCGAAGGTCTCGCCGCAGGCTTCTGGATCCGGACTTTTCTGACAGTGCTCCAGCAGCCACGGGTCCAACACCAAGTCCTTTGAAGTGCCTGCTGAGCGGCCCAAGTCCGAAAGTACCAGACTGAGGTGAGCCTGTCGTCGCAAGAGCCCAAACAGGGTCTCTTGCGCCTCTGTTGACTCCCCGAGGTCCATCAAGGCACATCCAAGCTCATCGTCGCCAAGCTGATGGACGGGTGCACTCTCCAAAGCTCCCGGAAGAGCTCGGGACAGAACGCTGTAAATGATGCTGGAAATATCTCCAACCTTCAGGGAAATCGTGCGCACTAGACGAACATTGACACGCCCTGCGCTGGTCTTGCCCCACAGAGAAACGAATAAATACTACGGTAGTATACGGTAAGGATTACAAACGTATAGGATATGAGGCATCATGAGGCACTTGGTAAGAGCCCACTGGAGCTTCACGAGCCTGCGGCTGTCGGCGATGCTCGCATCGCAGCCACGAGGGCAGCAAGAGTGGGGCCACCGCCTCGAATTTTGAGGACAAGCACGGGCGTACGAGCTTGGGTTCAAGGTCTTGGTAAGATGATTGGGCAAGTTTGCAGGTCTAAACTAGTAACGATCTGTACCCAGAACCCTTCCCGCCCGAAAGTCCCATCCACAACAGAGCAAGGCAGCAACTCGCTTGGAGAAATGGAGGGGTCAAGAGATGTCACGAGTCTCCTGCCCAGATACCTTCTCTGCGACTTGCACACTGTTTGTAGCTCCTGCCCTTCCTACACGAAACATTGGCACAAACAGAAACTCGTCATTTGAGCTAGGCGCCGACAGTACGATCGAAATTGTATGCCGTATGCCCAAACAAGCCAAGGAGCAGGACGTGTCGGCAGCCATGCCAGCAGCAACGTAGCCGTGAGGTGCATGAAGCTTCTTATTGTCCCGAACTGTGGCAGTGGTATGCAACAAGACAGAAGTGTTCCCAGCAAAACCGTGCAAACACACTACACCTTCAGTTCGGATAGTAGCTGCGATTCACAGTAGACGACGTCCTACACAGGCCATGTGATAATCTGACAACACCACTGACACCATGCAACGCGCCCAATACAGACGAGCAAACTAGTGTCAGAACAGCTTACTGCTATCAGGTTGGCTCGTGTCTTACCTCCCTGTCAGAACATCTGCCGTGCCCGCACCTTGCACCAAATTTCGCTTAAAGACCTTTTCATAAGTGTGCCTTCACGCTCTTTACGATCAGCTGTGGAAGCCAAGAAATGGCTGCAGGTTGTAAAAGGGCTCGCACAAAGGACTTGGAGGTACGATAACCACTGGATCATGAGATGGCGAGAACCGCTAACACCAATTGGTTTCAGACGACAGCAGAGCGGCCGGCCCAACAATCGTACAGGCTGGAAAAACACAGGAGACAGAATCAGGAAGGAGACGTAGGGCAAGTCGTGTATGCAACAGTGCATTAACGTTCAGCTGGGAGTTGCAACTGTGGCTGGAAACGGCGACACAAGCCTTCTTAACGTGCTGCTTCGAGAAGCACCGGAGAACTTAAACAAATAGCACGTACCTCCACCAAGCGGAATCGTTTTCCGGTCTCCGACCCCAAGTCAAAGCTGCGCCTTGCGGCAGCAGGCATTGCCACGGCCGCAGAACTTGTCGCAGATGCCCGAGCCCATGCAGGGAATCCAGCAGTCGTACCCTCAGGGCGAGCTTCACACTTCAAGGCCTCCGAGCGAACGCGAGAAGACTCGTATGTGGGATTTCGGCTGATCACAAGCACACATGGCCACTTCGACACTTAGCCCCCGGCCACGGTGCAGCACCGGCAGAACCTAATCTGATTTTTCAGTCAACAGTAATATCGACATCACATCCTTTCGCTGGGGCTTGCAGGGACAAGCCTGTAAGGTACCACTCTCTGCTCTATGCGGAGATGCGCCCTCGACCTCACACTCAGACCATTGCAAGAACTTAAGCATGTGCTCTCAGCTGATCTCAGCTGCCTTGTTGTCCAGCCTGCGACTTCGCTACGAATTGCCCACAGGCCAATCCCGGCTCCCACAAGACATATCTCAGGGTCCGGCCGCAGCTTCTTCTGGATGGGTGAAGGGATTGTGCTGTTCCTGGGACTGATCAGAGCTCTATACGGGCTCCATGGCCATGTAACTTACTCAAGTTTGTAAAACAACAGTAAGGGTTGCGAAGTTCAATGGCCAGCATGGCTTACGCTGCTTCCGGGTGTCGTAGGGGTTCACGACCGGAAGATCCGCATCTCCTGCGTCCTTGCAAAAGGCGGAAGGATGCACGTAGAAAAGGACGAATTCTGGATTCCAACCGCCCACCTCCCAATAGCAACGATGCCCTGTAAGTCTTTTTATCAGGAGGCGTAATGCGCGCATGAATTACAGGACTGCTCTTGACCTTGAAACCTTTGACTCAATCCTCGACGACGATGGGCTATCACAGGAACAGGCTTCTTCGCGCACTAGGAGGAGCATTGCAGCTAGAGAAGCTCACCCCAATGATCACAAGCCTTCACTACAAGCTGCTACATCTGGGATGCAGAGTCCATCCCGTCACACTGCCTGACTGACGATCTGAGAAATGAAGGGCACAAGCTAAACCGTGTATGCCAGGGAGCAACTTGTAAATTCAGATTGATGTTGCCCCATCCCCTGTGCCCCGTCCGTGGGAACATACTGCAGACGGCGAAGGTCCAGCAAGCGCGAAGCTGATGGCCCTGCAGCCATGGAGAGAACGTCTAGACGTCCGAGGCGGTCACCGAGACAGTCACCGAGACCAGAAAAAGAGATTCCCACAATCTGCACAGCTACAAGATGTCGCACTTGGCAACAGCCGATTCTGAACGGACAGCCTGACTGCACTTATCGCTACATGGTGTTTGTAAGTGCGCCATCCTTCAGTGATGAAGACTGCAGCCAACAAGAGCTTCGATATGCGACACCCTGCGGAATCGTTCAAACTTTGTTGGTGTGAATGTGCACATGCGAGAGTGCGCGTGCATCGGGCTTTAGTACTCTAGTGACTACTGACCGCAATGTGGAGAGCTGCCGGAGGCTGCGAGCTTGTAGCCTCGCTGTGACGGGACTATGCCATGTGCATTTCCTGATGTACTACTGTTGGAAACGATCCAAGCATTTGTTGATATAAGCTCCGAAGTATGTACCTAGGCTTATAGGATGGAACAGGTAAGGGCGCATGCGCAGCATCGGTCTGAAGGACATGTCAAATGATGCTTTCTTACGAACTCGTCTGCAGATTTGGCAGTTTCGAAACACTAGGACACTCCACTGTAGAGTGCCCAAACACAAACAACACAGGATCCTTACCAGGACCCCAAAAGAAGAAGCTACCTTTGCTGTCTGAACATGTCTGAATTCTTGGGAGTGGCCTGGAAGGGCCCCGAAGCACAGGGCACCCGCAAGAAACGCCGCAGCCAGAGCTAAGAGAGCCCAGGAGGCCAGGACCCTGCCGGGGCCGAGAAGTCACTTCGATTTAGGGTTTTGGGCTTTTGGGGTTTCGG